TAAGCCCAGGTGCCTTTGTTTTTTTGGTTCTGTGATAATTTTCCCCCACAGGGATGAGCAGGAGGAGACTCCCTGCACTTTCCTCAGGAGAGCAGCCCCTGCACCCCTGCAGAGCAGAGCTGATCCATGCTCTGTGTCTCCTCACTGCACACAGCTTCCTCCGAGACAGGGCCCTGCTCAAAGGTGTTCCGAGTGCCTGACTGCTCTCTGCAGTGAAATGTGGATGAAAAATTAAATTTTATAATTTGAATAAAGATTTGTAGGGAATGGGTATGTTTATTTATAGTGCTGTGGATGCATGTTGGGATTTATTGTCCTTTAATGTGTATTTTTGAGAACTCTTGATCTTTTTTTATTACTTTTACTAATTTCTATATGCATAAATTTTACAATAGGTTAATGTATATTTATTTTGTTGATTTTACATTACACTTATAGTTAGTTATGCTTGCACTCAGTTTTTGTTAGAAAGTACAGAAAGAACTTTCAGGTCACTCTGTTTTAAGGTCTGAGGAGTCTTTTTTATTTCTCATTTTTTAGTGTGGAAATCTGCATTTTTTTTCTTGAGCTGGGATAGTTTTCTTAGGGCTGCATATTAACTAGACTAAACAGCACGCTTAGCAAGCTTAAAGTGGCACATTTAACCTAGATCTAAATGGATTTTTCCCCTGTTAAATTGTCACTCTGGCTCAGCAGCCAGGGCAGTGTCTGGGAGCCATCCCAGCTGCTCCCCAGGACAGCCCTGGCTGCTTATCTCCCACCAGAGGCACAAAACTGATAACAGAGCCCTTCACCACTGCCCTGGCCAAGGGGGGCTCTGGGCTTCTCCCCTGGGGAGAGGGGCCGTGTCCCCACCTGTCAGGGTCTGCTGGTGAGATCCCAGCAGTGTGAAAATCCCTTTTTTCCCCTCGCCCAGCAGCCGAAGAAAAGGTCTGGGATGTGTGAAGCTGAGTGTTCAATGTTGTTTATTTTTTAATGTTGTTTATTTTTTCTTCTCTGTAGTATTTTCTCTCTGACCTGCCGAGGTCCAGCTAGCACAGAAGCCGTGGCAGCTTCTGCTGAGCCCTGGGTGTCTCCCACATTATATACTCAAAATTATGTGTACCATGCTTATGGTTCCCTTACCAATACCTAAAATCTATGTTGGACAGTGTGTCTCTACCTTAAACCAATAGACAAGTGTCACCATCACACCAAGACATGGAGGGCAACAAGAAGAGCAAATAAGACACACCCAGATTCCTCCATCTTGTACCCTTGAATTACATCCTAAAAAACCCCAAAATTCTACTTTTTCACCCTGTGTCAATTCCCCTATTACACTACTCAAACCCTTGTGGCTTGTAATCCCTCATACAAAGTTGGCAGTTTTTTCCATGGGTAAAATTGAAGCCACAGGTGTCTTTGACTTAGTGTCAGGGTCTCTGAGCCCCCTGCCAGGGTCTGGAGATGCTCTGGACTCCAACACCCACCCTGGCTACCCTGAGCTCCCAGTGCTGCAGAGCAGGGGAATTTCTCCCCCAGCCTTTGCTGCCCGTGTTCAAGACCTGCCCAGTATTAAATCTCTTCTCCTTCTCCTTCTCCTTCTCCTTCTCCTTCTCCTCAGGCTTGCCTTGAGCTGTGTGCCAGGTCACTCTGCAATGTGTGGCTCACTCTGCCCACCTTGGTCCTGCAGGAATTGCCCCCTCTGGGTCTCACCAGAGCTGTCCCAAGATGCTGCTGAAACACCCACACCTGTACCCCCAGCTGGAAAATGGGATTAGGAGCAGCTCCTTGTGCAATGTGATGTCAAATTTCTAATTAACAACTGGCTGGCAATTAGCTTCTGGTGTTAATGAGCAGCTACTTGGAGAGGAGGCCTTATGGGTGGCAGAGACTTTGGAAAATGACTTTATTGCACAAGTGGAGACTTCCAGGAGGAACGAGAGAGCTGCACAAGGAGGGTGGCTGTTCTGCTCTGGGGGTCCCACTGCCCCCTGCCCCCGTGGGTACACAGGAGGTCACCTCGGGGTGGGCTGGGAGCTGCCAGGGCTCTGGAGATGCCAGCAGGAGGATTTGGGGACAGCAGGAGGTGCAGACAGAGGTGTGGGCACGGCTGGCATGGGCAGGTGCGTGGCACCAACCCCCTCTGGCTCCCTCCTTCCCTGGGAGGATGAGGTGAAGCATCCCAATTCCAGATTTCAACCCCTCCGTCCCTGTGGCTCCTGCTGGCTGCAGCAGCCACTGCTCAGGGCTCCAAAGGCTGGGCAAACAGGAGGGGCTTTCCACACATCCCATTTCACCCCTGCACCCCGTGGGTGCCCAGGGGTGGGTGATGGTGCCCCCGTGACCTGCATTCATCCCAGCACAGATGGCACAGCCCCGGGCAGGGCTGCTTGCAGACCATAAAATTTGGGTTTTAGGGTAGAGTTCTGGAGGTGTTTAGCATGGCAGGGTTGAGGCTGTGTGTGCTGATGGTGGGGAGAGGTCTCAGCCCTGGATCTGAGACGCCACAGGTGGCACAAGCCATCCACATCACCCCTGAGCCTTTCCATGGGGAGCTGCTGCTTAAAACCCATCTCTGAGAGGAAAAGAGGGAGGCTGAGCCTCCCTGCAGCTAATTTGAGTGCCCAGGCACTCATTTTTGCCTCGGGGACAGCAAAGATTCCCTCAGCTGGGAATCCTGCACACTGGGAGCACTCACACATGGGGCACACAATCACCTGGTGCTGGGGAGGGTGATGGGCAGCCTCTAAAACCCTTTCTGCCAAGGAAAACAAGAGGGGGCTTTCTTTAGCCATGCATTTATATAAATAAACACAGGAATATTTTGCAGCTCCCGGGGGGATTTGCCCAGAGCACTGTTCTGCTGAATCAGGGTGGGAGAAATTCCGTGCTCCCCGCGAGCCTGCGCAGGAGCTGCCGGCACGAGCTGGGGACACAGGGGACCCCAGGTGGCATGTGGCCCTAAATCCATGCCAGGCACTCTGCTGGGACAGGAGCAGAACCCACGGGTCTGGAGAGCTGAGGAATAATTGCCACTGCCACAGCCCTCATGCTCTAAAACACCTCTGGATTGAAATTCCAAAATCCCCTTACAAACTGTGTTGTTCCTCCTTTGGTTGCCCAGAACTGAGGTCACACACACACACACACAGATTAAATTTGGAATACAATCAGTTTTGCACCTGAATGAGCTTGAAAATGAGGGCATCAGGGCAGTTGTTTCCACACTTCTCTGCTGCCTGGCCTGAAGGGAACACCTTTGCCAGGTGATGTCCTGCAGGTTTAGTGGCCCAAACCATGCACCTCTCTCTTTCCCAACCCAGCACAGTGTGACAGGGTGACAATAACCTCAGCACAACCTCGTGCCCCAAATTTCAAGGGGGTCACAATACCCCAGAAGATGCTCCAATGGTGCTCAACATTGACATGGCCCCTCTTGAGGAGGTGGCCACCAACCCTGCCATGCTTGCCACAGGTCCCTGGCGCCGTGGGGGTCCCCAGCGTCCCGAAAATAGGAGTGGGAGCTGCCAAAATGTTCCCCAAAGTGGGGCGGGGTGGGTCCCACGCATCTCAGGCCTGGTGTGAGGCTCGGGAGGGAGTTTGGGCCGGTAGCCCTGTCCGTGGGGACTCGTGGCTGCCTGCTCTGCGCGGTGGGCTCGGCGTGGGGGTCCCGCCCCGTGGCCCCCGTCCCCCTCGGGGCGGCCGTGTTTGTTCTCCTCGCGGCGCCCTTATCAGCTCACAACACACACAGGAAGTCCTGTCTGGGATTGTCCATCCCCGGCCTGATTTATACAGGAAGAAAAGCATAAAAAGCCGCCCTTCCACCTCAGCAGCCACCTCTGCCTGTGTGCAGCCGGCCATGCCGGGGACGCCGGGGACACCGGGGACACCGGGGACACCGGGACGGCGCCCGGGGCCGCTGGGCACGGCATGGCTGGGCAGGGATGGGCACCGAGAGCCAGCGGGGAGCACGGCAGGGGACAGGGGACACCCGAGGTACCACAGAGCCCAGCGGGGATGGACGGGATGGGGTGGGATGGATGAGAAGGTTTGGGATGAGATGAGGAGGTTTGGGATGGGATGGGATGGGATGGGATGGGATGGGATGGGATGGGATGGGGAAGGGGAGCTGGCACTGCGGGCAGCGGGAGCGCGTCCTTGTGAAGCTCTGAGTGGGTTTTGCCCCTGCTCGTGGTGCTGGGAGCCTTGGGGATGGTTGAACACCTAGCTCGGAGCACCCAGGTGTGCAAAGCATCCCCTGGAACACCCGGGTGTGCAGAGCATCCCCTGGAACACCCAGGTGTGTGAGGCAGTCTCCACGGGCTCCCGGCGAGGCTGGAGCTGCTGTCAGCCACGTGCTGAGCACGGCTTTGCTCTGAGCACAGCCCAGCCTCCAGCACTGTTATTTTTAAGTCACCCCACTGGCATTCAGGCTGTTTTGAGGGGCAGGAGAAGCCAGTGGGTAAATTTTACCTCCTGTGCATGTAGAGGCTGCAAACACTTGCACAAATTCCTGTGAGATAGCTGGAAATCCTTAGCTAATCTCTTTTCTTTCTGTAACTCCCTCCCTTTTCCCTCTGCCTGCTGTCTGCATACCTCTGGTGCATCACCAGGCTGTCCATCCTCCCCGCTCTGCCCCTGCCCTCTGCTCTCCTCTGAGTGCTGCTGAATCCACCCCAGACCCGGCTGGGATGTGGGGCAGGACAGGGATGTGGGCAGGCATTGTCCTGCCTCTGCCACCGAGGCTTGTCCTGACCCACAGCCGAGCCTGGATCATGCTGGCTGTGCACACCAGGAGCTCAGCAAAGCCTCCCACATTTATAACCATGGAGCTGGGTGGTTTTCATGCTGTCTGAAGCTACCTGTGGGTCCTGCTGTCCTCATCTGTGGCATTGCACGGTGCAGGCAGGAGGCTTCCAGGGTATTTTGGGATAAAGGAACAGCTGGGATACCCAGGCACTGTCTGGCTGTGCAGGAATACGGAGCAGAACCACACCAGTGAAGGGCTCTTGGTAGAAATAACCCAGCATCTTTTTTACCAGGGTCCAGCATTCATGGAACCAAACCCCTGAGCAGAGAATCAAACACAGAAATGAACAACAAGGCTTTGCCAGTGATCAAATGAATTTCAAGCTGGATTGGGAAGGTCTGGCAGTGCTTGGGAGGCTGTGGAAGGCCGCTGTGGCTGGAGCTGGAGCATCCTCAAAAATCCACCTCACCTCTGGGCAGCAGTGGGAAACGCGGATCTGCCCCGGCAGATTCTCCCTGTTCTTGCCTGGGATCTGCCGAAGGAGCGACTCCCCCTCTCTGCTGTTCCACCACCAGCTCTCCCAGGCTTCCCTGGAGGTAAGGACGAGAAATTGGATCCGGTCCGGAGGCTCATTCCAGCCTTTTCCCAGGCTCTGCTGCTGCAGGTGGGGCTGGCCGCGGGGAGGCAGATTTACAGACTGCAACAAATTGGGGTAAAGGAGCCCTCCCCTCTGTCCCAGCAGCAGCAGCAGGGCTGGGAGAAACACCGGGGAAAGGTCCCAGACCGGGCAGGGAAACAAAAGTGTCTCAGCAAAGAAAAGTGGGGATCAGAACTGTTCTTTCCTCTCTCCCAAAGTGAGCGCCGGGATCCCCGTCCTGCCCATACCCAGGGCAGGTTCCTGCAGCTGGAAACTTTCCCCTGGAAGAGAAAGATAATCAGAGCGAGGATTTCTTGGGTGAAAGGCTCTCTGCTGAGCTGTTCCCTGGGCTGGTGCAGGGGCTGAGCCATCCTGCAGCTCCCAGCTATCCCACCACACCTCCCATGTGCTGATTCACTGGGAAAGTGGGGCAGGAGACCAGGTTTTTTTGCCAGGGAAATTTTACAGAAATCCACAAAATTCAGTTTATTCTTGGGTGGGATGAATCATTTCCCACCTTTTACACTGCAGCCATTGCTGCATCCTCTAAATGTAAATAGAAATTCAATAGGGGAAAATAAAGCTGGCTATGGGATGGTGCCCTGTTCCTGCATTTGTTTTTGCACAGCTCCAGCTCAGCTGCTGGTTGTCCCCATGGGCACCTTAAGTCAGAACACAGTAGCCCTGAGACAACTAATGCTTGTGAATCCTTACTCAGGCCAAAAAAAAAAAAAATCACTTTGTGAGGCTCGGGTCTCAGTTTTAATATGCAGAGTCCTGAGCCACTGGTGGCAACAAGAGCGAGAGTTATGATGGGTCAAGTTCTTTTCTTGGTTTGACCTGGTTTTATCCCACTGCCATCCGTGGACTCCTCTAGATTTCCACTGAGATAGCTGGAGTGCAGCTGAGCAGCTGAGAACAGTATGAGCCAGAATAGAACAGTGGGAGGTCATTTCCCTCCCAGAGCCCTGCAGAACAGGGGCTGCTCCAAAGCTTGAACTGAAGTGTAAAGTTTACAAACAGCCTCACGAAGTCCCGAGCAGAAGAGTTTGTCCTAGAACAGCAAAAAAAGCGCCATTCCTCCTTTCTTCTATTTCTGAGAAGCACCAAAAATTCCCTTTTGCTTTATCAAGTGCCTCTGGTTGTGTGCCAGACCCCCGTGGAGACCAGTGAGAGCCCATTGTGCACTGCAGGGTGGGGTCAGGCACGCCTGGGGGGGCTGGAAGGTTTTGCATCTGTATGTGTGTCACTCTCTGCCCTGTCCCCATCCATCTGTCCCTCCAGCACTCCTGTTTGGGGCGAGCTCGTGTGCCTGGGCACGTCCCGTTTTCTGCGAGGGGCTGCAAGTGCTCCTCTCTAAAGAGCAGCTTCCTGATCTGGGATTTAATTCTCCACTGTTAATCCTTCCATCTTCATGCCCCAGATGCCTCCCACCCTCCAAGCTCTGCTACCAAACAGGGAAAGCACTTCCAGCCCTCAGCTCCAGCCCTCAATGCCCCACGGATGCTCCAGGGGGATGCTGGATGCCCAGGCAGGAGCTGTGGGCTTGGCAGGCTCTAGGAAATCAGGAGGTGGGTGAAAATCTCACCTGCACAGCCAGCCTGGTGCTCAGCCTGGGATCTGGGATCTCCCAGCTCACGCTGCTGGTGAAACCAGTGGGAGACAAGGAGGTTTTGACATGGTTGAATCCAAGAGGGAGGCTGGGCAGAAACATTTCTTTGCTGGCCTGGAGACAAGCATTAATGTTAGATGTCGTGGGAGTGCAGTTCTGGTGTGCAAGGGAGAAAGCTGTGGGGGAAAAATGTAAAATATCGGGCAAGGGAGGACTTTGAATTCAGGCAGGAGCCAAAATCCCCTGCTGCCTTTGTCAGGAGCTCATCACACTGACATTAACAGTGCCAACAGATCTGATCTTCCCCCACTCTGACCTGGCATAACTCCTCTGCTTCCAAGGGAGCTTTGCCAGGCCTTGTCCTGGGGGATTTCCCTCCCAGCATAATGAATATTAGCACAGAAGACACAGAACCCTCCCTGAGAGCAGAGGATTAAATGCTCTTTTAATGGGCTGCGTGTAGTTCTTTAGCAGCTGACTCAGGCACTTGCTCGAGCAAAGATTTGACCCAATAAATGGAACTGGAAACTTTTTGCAGTTAAAATACTGGCAGAATTTAAAATGCTCAGTGCACTTAGGGAGGGGCTGCCTGTGGCTGAGAAAGCTCCAGTGGGGTCCCTGGAAGGAGCGTGCTTGGTCCTGTGCTGTGTGGTGGTGTCCTGAAGGACGAGTCCATCCTCTTCCTCACCATCAAATTTGCACTTGGAATCCCAGGGATTCATGCAAAGCTTTCCTGGGCAGTGAGGGATGCTTGTCCTTAAATGAGGGTAAATGGTAGAGTGTCATGGTAAAGGAGAATGCTGGGGAGCAGCAGGTGGGATCACAAATCAGGGAGGTGAGCTGGGATACACCTGGGAGAGTGTGCCAGGTGCACTCCTGTTCTCCTGGGTTCTTGGAAAATGCCAGCCTCGAGCACTGGCAAAGCTGCTAGAGGGGATAGATCCTGCTCAGCAAATCCCTTCTGCTCATCAGCCCCGCTCGTGCCCCGGCCTGCTCAGCCCTAAAAGGTGCAAGGGCACCGTGGCTCTGCCTGCATTCCCACTGGGATCACAGCAAGCAGGATCAGGGCCATGGGCTGCTCCTGAAACACCCTCTGTGGGGTGGGGATGGGTTTCCTCATGCCCTGCCAGGGTGTGACAGTCTCTGTGCCTCTCTGGTGGTGGCTCTGTGGCCACCACCCTGCAGGGATCTTTGGGAGTGTCCAGGGAACGCCAGGTCCATCGTGGGTGAGGGCTGGGTCGCTGCTCTCTGCCTGCCTGACAAGGGGAGTGTAACACTGGCCTTTTTCTGTCCTCACAGAAAGAAACCAAGATGCTCCTTAAGCAAAGGAACCCTGCCCAGGACACCTGATGGAGCAGCGTGGATGAGGTGAGTCGTCTCCGCTGCAAAATGAGATCCTGTGTTTTCAGTATGGCCACACAGAGAAGCTCTGGCTTCCACATGCATTTTGCAATTATTAGACAATAATTCAGGCTCTGTTCATCTTCCCCATACACCAGAAAAAAAAACAATAATGCTCTCTGCGTAACAAGATAATTAGTGTGCTTCCAAGGCTCTTGGGAGACGTTGCCTGTGCTGATGAAATTAAGGGAGCTGAAATCACTCCCCAGAGGTAGGATGGCTCCAGAGGGTGAACAAACCCGTGTGAGATGCTTCACAACACAGAGCTGCACTTCCAGCAGCACCAGCAAACCTTTCCCTGCTGCTGGGAGGGATCTCCATCTCCACCAGCACTTCCAGAGAGGATTCCCCTCTGTTCCCTTCTCAGGGAGGATCCCACCAAAGCTCCTTTTACACGGAGAGCCCCAAGCACCCATCAGCTTCCCTGGAGGGTGCAGCACGGCCCGAGGCAGTTCCAGTCCCATCAGCAGCCCCAGCATATCCCTGAGGAAACAGAGGGGTTGGGCCAGTGATCTCAGTTGTTCTCTTGGAGCCATTATTGTTGAACTGGTAAATATTTCCTTTAAATGCTTACATGCTTTCAAAAAATTTACAGGGCTTAATGGGAACAAATATTCCCAGGGGGCTGTATCCTGCCATTCATTTGCACATCAGATCCCTGCTATCTTTAAGAATGGTTCTGTGCATGGGCAGGCGCCTAAGTCATTTGAGAAACAATAACCCTCTGTGCTCTAATTTTCCAGACAAAAATGTAGACAAAACAAGTGGCAATTTGGCACAAACCGAGCCGCTTTGATAAATAACTGGGCATTTAAGAGGAGAAGCCTGTAGGCAGCTGGGCCGCCCGAGCTGTCCCGGGGCAGGTGTTGGGCAGCCGGGGCTGAGCCCTGGGTGTCACCCCAGAGGGTCCCTCTGCAGCTGGGGGACTTCCAAGGAATTCTCTAAGCATCCTTTAGGATTTGCTGGAAACATCACCGGCTCCTGCAGGACTTTGGAAGGAGCTCAGGGGGATAAACGGGCACGGCGGGAGGGTCTGGAGCAGGTCTCTAACCCAGGGAGAGATGAGTCTCCTCCTCACATCCTCTGTGCTCGTGGTGGGGAGTGCGGACCAGGACAGAGATTTTTAGTCAAGAGAATTCAATTTGCGTGCTGCGATGGATCATCCCCCCGGGGAGTCCGCACAGCCCTGGGCGAGGCCGGGGCCGAGCCGCGATGTCTCTCGCTGCTAATCCCCTGCGCACCCAGCCGGGCTGGCCCTTGGGGGCCGCGCGTGTCCCCGCAGCGTGGGGCTCGTGGGGCTCGTGGGGCCCGTGGGGCTGGTGGGGCTGGTGGGGCTCGTGGGGCTCGTGGGGCCCGTGGGGCTGGTGGGGCTGGTGGGGCTCGTGGGGCCCGTGGGGCTGGTGGGGCTGGTGGGGCCCGTGGGGCTCGTGGGGCTCGTGGGGCCCGTGGGGCTCGTGGGGCTCGTGGGGCTGGTGGGGCCGGGGCTGCTGCTGCCCTGGGCTCACAGGTAAGGCTGCACACCCACCGGAGCGCCCCGCAGCCCCGTCCCCATCAGCGACAGCATCAGCGCCGCTCCAGCAGCGCGTCCCCTCAGCCGGGGCGCCCCGGGGCTCCTGCCCGGTCCCCGCCGGTGCTGCCCGGTCCCCGCACGCGTCCCGGGGAGCCGGGGGCAGGTGGCGGCCGGCGGGGCCCGGCGGGGCGGGGGCAGGCGGAGATCCCCGGCGTTTCCCCCGGCCGGGAGGCTCCGCTTTCCTCCCCGCCGGGAGCTCATTGGGCCGGGGCGGAGGGACCGGCCGGGGCCGGGGGAGGAAATGCGCGGGGGGCCGCGGCGCGGCGGCGACTCCGCGGCTCCGCCACCGGCACCGGTGAGTCCCGGCGGGCGCCGCCCGGGGCTCGGCACGGCCGGGGCGGGGGGCCCGGCGGGGACGGGCGGGGGACGGGGGTGCCGGCGGAGCGGGGCTCGGTACCGCAGCGCGGGGGGCTGGGAGGGCTCAGGGCTCGGGCTGCTGCGGCCGCGGGAGCATCCCCGGGACATCCGCGTCCCCGCCTCCCCGCGGGTGTCCCTGCATCCCCCCGGGACACCCCTGTCCCTACAGACCCCCGGGACATCCGCGTCCCCGCCTCCCCGCGGGTGTCCCTGCATCCCCCCGGGACACCCGTGTCCCTGCATCCCCCCGGGACACCCGTGTCCCTACAGACCCCCGTGACATCCGCGTCCCCGCTTCCCCGCGGGTGTCCCTGCATCCCCCCGGGACACCCGTGTCCCTGCATCCCCCCGGGACACCCGTGTCCCTACGGCTCCCCGGGACATCGTGTCCCTTTAGCTCTCCGGGACACCCGTGTCCCTACAGACCCTCGGGACATCTGCGTCCCCGCCTCCCCGAGGGTGTCCCTACAGCCCCCCGGGACACCCGTGTCCCTACGGCTCCCCGGGCATCGTGTCCCTGTCTCCCCACCGCACCCCCGTGTCCCTACGGCTCACCCGTGTCCCTGCAGCCCTCCGGGACACCCGTGTCTCTGCAGCCCCCCGGGACATCGTGTCCCTGTCTCACCACGGGACATCCGTGTCCCTGTCTCCCCACCGCACCCCCGTGTCCCTGCAGTCCCCCGGGACACCCACATCCCCGCAGCCCCGGCGGTACCGGCTCCCTGCACGGTGTCGCTGTCGCCGTGTCCCCGTGTCCCGCGGGCAGTGCCACAGCTCCCTCCGCGGTGTCCCCACGCTCCATCCATCCCGCGGCAGCGCATCCCAGCCCAATCCCGCGCGGGGAGCAGCCGGAGCTGGCTGCGAGGGCGAATCCATCCCCTCCCGGGCCGGGTTTGGCTCTGCGGGCACAGCCAGGCTTGGAGCAGCGGATTTACCTGCAGAACAGGCCGGGCTGTCCGGAGAGCGCAGCCTGGTGCTCCCGGGAGAGCCATGGCATCCTCGCCGGGGGCTGGCTTCTCTCATCCTCGCGGCGCGATGATTCCTCCTGCTGCCGGCTCCTGGGCAGGGCTGCACGACATGCTGCTCACCTGTGCCCTGCGTTGGGAGTCCTCTCGGTTGTCGTTGAGGCAAGAGCAGAATTTGGGGAATTTAGGAGAATTTTGGGAATGGTTCTGGCTGGTGGAACAGGGAGCCCCAGACTTGCAGGAGCACGTGGTCAGGCAAGGAGGATTTGCTGACCCCTAAGACATAATTTCACTTGTCAGACCAAGAGGCTTCACCTCTTCATCTGAGAGGCTTAAAAGGCCTTTTTTAATTTTTTCTTGAGCATAATTTTTTTCTTCCTTAAGTTCTATTCTTTAAAAAAGCATGGGATAGACGGTGGCAACAGGTTGGATGATCTTCAGCAGCTTTTAAGGGGTTGATTTTTGTAAACCCATAAAAAAGACAAGTCTAGACTATCGTATTTTCTATTTTTACAGCTTTTTCTGTTACGAAGCAACCATAATTTTATAGTCCAGAGGGATCCTCGAGGTAGGGAAGTGCTGCTCCAGTTCAAAGTGAAAAAACAAACTCTGTATTTTAGGCTTGTGCCCTGTGTTTCTTGCCTTCCCCACAAGGAAAGCTCCCGTTGCAGCCACGGGAATCCTGTGGGAGGATGGAGATGGTTGGCAGAGTTTGACTTCCAGACGTGAGGAGCAGCACTGAGAACCTGGGATCTGGGATTGTAGGGAAGTTTTGTGTCCCAGTTTAGCCCTGGGAAAAGCTGGCTGACGGAGCAAAGGGGAGTTGGTGTGTGTCCGTGCACCAGTGGCCTTGGAATGTCTCCAGGAGGACTGGGGAGAGGGAAAACTCCTTCAATATTTTTAAAAATCCTGCAGGACAAGCAAGATTTGCTTTCCTGATGGTGGAGGTACCATACCTTCTTCATTAGGAAATTAAATTAATTGCTGTGTTTGAAGAAGAATGGAGTACTACAGGCTTTAAAGCACCAAAATCCTCCTTCCATCCTCAGGGCTGGGCTTGCATGGAAATCTGCTGGGATATTTGATATTTGACATTTGATATTAAGGGGCAGGAAGGCACCAGGCTGGTCTCTCTCCAGATGTGAATCTCCATTTCTCCCTGCCTCAGATTCTTCTCCTGCACCGAGGAAAGGACGATCCTGAGTGCCTTGGAGACCTGCAGGCTCTGCAGATTTGCCATGGTTATTTGTAACAACCTGTCTCAGAGTTGGGATTTCCCAATGGAATTTGGGGATCAAACTGCAATTTTCCAGTCCAGTCCTGCCCTACAGCATGTGGGGATTTAGAAAGTTGATTTGCAGATCACGGTATCTGCAGTCTTAGAAGGTTTCTTGTGTAGCCTCCCCTTTCAGAAAGTTTAGTCAGAAGGTTCTTTCTTTAACTGGTGCATATTTTAGGTGGGTTTCTTTATTTCTTCCTCCTTCAGCTGCTGCCATCCGGAGGCCAAGTGGTTTGTTTAAATGAGATATTGTTTCAATTGGATATTGTTACTGACCCTCTTCAGCCTTGTTTCGTATTTGTCCTCTGCGAGAAAATCAAAACCTCTCGGTTTGTGCCTCAGAGCTGACTCTGCAGATGGTACATGTGGCCCTTACAGCACTTTTCTCTGTCACGAATTTGTGTTTTAAAGAGAAGAAGATCAGATTTCAGTGTTTAATGTGGTGGGAAAACGCAGCTTTACAATGCTGTGTGCATTAAGAAATGACAGGCCATTGTTTTGCCCTCACTGCCTGGAACTGGCAGCGAGTTGGAGGCAAAACACGTCCCTTCCCTGCCCCCAACACAACTGCACAGCTCCTGCTGCCCTGAGAGCATCTCCAGGCATCCCCCGGGCTAAATCAAGGATAATTCCTGAATTAACATTGTGCCACACTGGTGAGACCAGCGGGGCAAGGGGGGTTTGTGCCTGGAGCAGCTCCCACCTTGCCAGGGGTTTGTCCCCACGGCTCTGTCAGGTGTCACCAGCTGGGCAGGGACACCTCACAGAACCACAGGATGACCTAGGTTGGAAAAGACCTTTGAGATCAAGTCCTTTGATAAGGGTAACATCTCCTTATCAACTAAACCATGGTGCTTAGTGCCACATCCAGTCCAGTCCACGTCCAGTCTTTTTTTAAACACGGGGACGGTGACTCTGCTGCTCCCTGGGCAGACCATTCCAGTGCCCAATCACTCTTTCAGTGAATAATTTTCTCCTGAAGTGTCCTCCCTCCCTCACAGTGCTGCTCTCCTGCTTGCAGGGATCCCCACTGAAGGACGAGCCATGCAGTAGGAGCCAGCACAACCCACGGAAGAGCAGGAGCCAGTGCTGCAGGAGGGACGGGACATGTGGAGCCTCAGCTGCCTCCTCTGGGGACTCCTCCTCATCCTCAGCACCACCAGCATGGAGGGCTTTGCCCACGCAGGGTAAGGCTCTGTTTTGCCTGCACCTCTCAGGTGTGTTCCCCACCCATCAGGGTGAGGCACGTCCTCTCTTGGTGGGAGCAGCCCTGTGTGGCTCTCTGGGCTGGTGAGGAGGTGGAAAAAGCTCTCCCAAGGCTCAGCAGCCTGTTGCTGGTTGTTTGCTTTCTCACTAAAGCTAAAACATCTCTCAGAGGAAACGTCCCAGCTCTATTTAACTCCGTGCAGGGACACAAAGACACTCTGGGCATTTTGTCCAGGAGAGTCAAAAGCTCATCAGGCCCTGAGCTGTTCAGGAATTATTACAGCCTCTTTCAAGCACATCCTTCATGAAAATAATGTGTGAAATCCTGCTAGCACACAAATCAAGCCTTGTGAACACGCTGTCACTGAAGGATGCAGCTCCCATCAGAGGAGGACAGAGCTGCCAGCTCTGATGGGCACCCAGGGAAAGCCTGGGCTGTGCTTTGTGCCCCCCAGGACTCTGCTGGGGCAGTGGCAGCTCCAGCAATTCCCCTTCCCCTTCTGGGAAATGGGTCTGGGAGCTCTCCCTGGATCCCAGCACAGCCTGGCCAGGCACAGCTCAGCTCCTGCTGGGTCTGAGGAAGCCCAGAGCTCAGTGCCCCAGTTTCTTCCCCAGCTGAGAGGAGCTGCAGCTCAAAACCCTCCCCCAGACACAGCTCACATTTTCTAGGAAGTTTGTTTTTACACTGAAACGCTCCTCCAGCGTCAAACCTTTCACATTCTGTCCAGGACTGAAACCACAGCTGAATTCCTCGCTCACACGCACAGGCTGCAGCTAAAACTTTGTTCTGAATTTTACAAAGCAAACAATTGCCATTTAAAAATTGCATCTTCTATAACATTAATCATGAGGCTGAGAGGAGTTTTCTGGAGTTAATGGAAACCATCTGATGTCCACGCTAATTCCCAGGCTTTTTATTTTAGTTTCTAATTGAACTGGGAGGCTGAAATGAGTAGATGGGTTCCTCAGTGGGACTGACCTGTTTGGGCTGGAAATTGTTGAAAAAAAGGATGTTTAAGCAAGACCACTTTGGCTGTTAACCTTGGGAAAGTTTTTTACTGGATAGCACTTATCTTAGGAAGGCTGGGGAGTGCTTTTTATCCAACCTCTAACTTCTTTTTGCGGTGAGCCTGACCCTTCCTGTGAAATCATTAATTTCTTGGTGACCACAGGGGCATCCGTTTCAGGAATGCAAAAGTCTCAGAAAGGAAAAATCCACCCAGAAAGTGAGTGATTTTAGGGGAAAGAAGACAATGTAATGAGTAAATCATCCCTAAATCTGGGTCCCAACTGCTCCCACGGGACGGGGGAGGAAGCGCCCACGCCGCTCAGTGCTCCAGGGCTGTGTCACTGACCTGAAACAGCTTCAAGTGGTTCTGATGTCACTGGGGCAAGCAGGCACTGCTGTCCACTAGCCCGGTGCAGAGAGGGGAGCTGGGGCCGTGCCCTGGCTGCGGGACTGACCCAGCACTGTGTGCCCAGGCGCAGGGTGTGCTCAGCCACGGCGCCGCCGCGCCGCCCCGGTGCCCACGCCGAGTCCCACGTGCAGCCCGTGTACCAGCCCTACCTCACCACCTGCCAGGGCCACCGCCTCTGCAGCACCTACAGGTGAGCCACGGGCAGCAGGGATCCTGCTCCCCACCCCGGGATGGGGATCCCAGCTCCCGGGAGCGCCCCGAGCTGCCGTGGGAGCAGGACACGGCTCCGGGCCACGCGGCTCAGCCCAGCCTTGCCTTGCAGGACCATCTACAGGGTTGTCTACAGGCAGAGCTACAGGCAGCTGGCCCAGCCCATGGCCTCGTGCTGTCCTGGCTGGAGCAGAGCAAACGGCCACACGCTGGGCTGTAACAGAGGTAAGGAGCTGCTGGGTCACCCCGGTGCCACTGCCCGTCCCCAGACGTGTCCCTGGAGGGGGGCCCCAGGACCACTTCTCTCATTTACCCACCCTCTGTCTGTCAGATTCATTCTCCCTGAATTAAATTTTCAGCATCACAGCCAAATGTGGTTCAATATTTGATTAATTCCCAGCTTTTCTCTGCTGCCTCTTGGGCCTTATTCCTTTGGGATCGCTTATTACCTTTTTAGTTAGCAGAGGATAAATAAAACAAGTCCTTCCCATCGAAATCAGCAGAAATGGATGAGAAACCCTTTCAGGAGACAACAAAAATAAACCACAGCAGCAGCCAGTCTGTCCCCAGTGAGCTCAGAGTGTGGCACAGGGGGCTGCTGCCTGTTGCCCTCCTCCTTCCCGTCTCAGCTTCTTTCCAGCTCCTCTTCCTTCCACCCACCCTAAGTCCTGCTCCCTCTGGGCAGCTCAGCCCTGCTGTGTGGTGCTGGTGTGTTTTGGGGTGTGCACACATGCAGGGTGGGAGGGAGGGAGCTGGGGAGCCCCTGGGTGATGCTGTGCTGGTGTTCCTCTCACAGCTCTGTGCTGGGAGCCGTGCCAGAACGGCGGGAGCTGCGCCTTCCCCGGGAGATGCTCCTGCCCCCCCGGCTGGACGGGGCAAGCCTGCCAGACAGGTACTGGCCATGTCCCCTCTGTCCCTGCTCCCTGTGTCACACCTGCCCTGCTGCTGGAGAGCTTCTCCTGGGAGCACGCCAGCTGCCGTGGGGCTCTGGGTGTCCTTTGCCCCACACCAACCCCTCAGAGGGGACAGGGACCTTGTCAGACCTTACCCCTTATCAGACCTTGGGCCATGTCTCATTGTGTCCCTGTGCACACACCTGAACAACACCTGCTCCAGGAAATGATGGGAAGTGTGGCTCCCAGGGGAGGTCTGACCTCCCTTTGGCTGCCTCAGCGCTCCCTCCTGTGCACCCCCATTTTCTGTGCCTGCTGCTCCGTGCTGGGTCGGTGTGAGCAGAGCTGTGAGCCTCCCTGCAGCACAGAGCCCTTGTGGGGCCAGCCTGGGATCGTGTGTTTGTGATCATCCCTCCCAGGCTTTGTAAACTCTTGCTGTAAACTAAAATGCCCTTTTACTGCAGAGACTAAAAATCCATAAACCAAAAATATCTGGGGGTGGAGGAGAAGTCTGGTGATGTCCAGGCTCCTCTGCAGCACAGGAAGAGCCCAGTGCTCCTCACAGCGTGGAGAAATCAGGCAGTGTGTTGCACACCAGTGCTGCAAACCCCTACCACAGCATTTCCCAGCTTTTCCCAGCTTTCCAGCCTCCTGTAAGGCAGAGGAGGAGCGTGTGGCATTGACCCATGCTGGGCCAGGCAGGGCTGAGCCCATTGCTGACAGCTCCAGCTCCAGGGGAAAGGATTTTCCCACTGCCTAAAACAGATTTGCCCAGGCGTGGGAAGAGCTTCAGCTCTTTCTGCTTTGTGGGAACAGCTTTAATAACTCCCCCGTGTGAGGAGAGGTTACTGGGTTTTGTACACACTTGAAAGGCTGATAGCTCCTCGCCACAGCTGGCTGGAACCAAAACCCCGGCCGTAAATCCGGGATGAGAGCCGAGCACTGCCTGCGCCCGCCTGCCCAGAGCTGGGACATTTTTGACCACAGCTTCTCCTTCTGGCAGTGTTGTGGGGGCAGCAGGAGGAGGGGAGGAGGCCAGACCCCTTCCAGCTTAGCCCAGGTTTATCCAGGGCTGTCCCAGGCACCCAGAGCTGTGCCCGGCCCAAACACCAGCTCATTGTGGGGCACTCACTGGGGTTCCACTGCAGCCCCCCTGTGCCTAAGCCACCCGTGCCCCTCAGCCTGTCCCCTCCTCACTAGCTGTTCCTGTGTTGCAGACGTGGATGAATGTGCCAGCCAGAGCCACGGGTGCAGCCAGCTCTGCATCAACACGGCCGGGAGCTTCCACTGCGCCTGCCGGGACGGCTTCAGCCTTGCTGCCGATGACAAGGGCTGCCAGCCCCTGGTGCCAGCGCCAGACACCTCCAGCCAAGCAGGTACCCTGTCCCCACACTGAGCCCAGCTGCTGGGGGCCTGCAGGGAGAGCTGAGAGGACACAGCATCGCAGGAGTGGCAGGAGAGGGGACAACAGCCAGAGCCCCTCAGCTTTATTCTGGCTGACCCAGCAGTGCTTCTCCCACTCAACTTCCCCCGAGCACAAATCCATCTGTGAGGGTGACGGGGCCTGGCTGCGGCTGGAGGTGTCTGGGATGTGTCTGTTCTCTCCCTCATCATCCTCGTTCCTGCAGGGCGGGTCCGGAGCCACGAGGAGCGGCGGGCGCCGCTGGTGACGGCCCATTATTACTTTTGGTACGCGCTGTGACACTTCAAACTCGTACCGTGAGTAATAATGCGCTGTGGCCAGCACGGGCATCACGCAGCAAACACCTGGGACGGCCTGCACGTGCCCCACCTGCCTCCACCCCTGTGCAGGAACCTCAGCAGGGACAATCCCTTGTGCCCACCACAGCACAGGGCAGAGCTGGGTGTTTTTTGGCAACACGGGCACAAAAGGCCAGGATCCACCAGATCTTTTGTCCTTTAAGCATCGCCCCACTGCTTGAAACCCTCCCCGCTTCGTTGCAGGTGCTGCAGCAGCAGGAGCAGCCTGTGCCTTTAGCAGCTGGACTAGATGCCAGCAGGTCCAGCTGATGCTCTGGGGGATGATCCCCACCCTGGGTGGGGAAAGCAGCAGAGCTTGGCCAGAGACCTGCAGCCACGTCTTTCTCCCCAGCAGCTTCCACCTCACCTCGGCAGTGGGCTTTTACTCACTGACATTCCCTCGGTCACTTTTTCAGGTCCCTCCAGTGAAATGAAGGAAGAAATGAAGGACCTGAGGAGCAGAGTGGAAGCGCTGGAGCAGGCGAGTTGCAGCACATGCCCCTGCCCTGTTCCTGCTCAGCCAGCTCCCACCCGGGGCTGTTTGCAGCCAGGGTTTCCCTCCTCCCCGGCTCTATTTTTAACATCCCAGCAGCAATCCCAGCTGTGCTGCCCGCGGCGCCCACGCCACGGCTTTTCCAGCCCTTTGAACGCACCCACAGCCCCTTGAGCCCTCCCTGGTGGGTGCTGCCTCCCCCCGGGTGGTCCTGCACTCACTGCTCCCCTTCTCCCTGCAGAAGCTCCAGCTGGTGCTGGCCCCCTTCCACAACCTGATGCCACCAGAGGATGTCGGTGCAGACCCCATCAGCCGCCTGTCCCACTCCCTCCAGCAGCTGGACAGGATTGACTCCCTGAGCGAGCAGATCTCTTTCCTGGAGGAGCGGCTGGAGACGTGTAAGTGCCTGGAAAAAGCAGTGGGGAAGGATCTCCCTCCAGCCATCCCAGCCACGGGGAGCAGATGCAGGCCAGCGAGATCAGTAACACATATGCCACTGCTAATCTGGATCTGCCTCAAGCTCAGCAGCCTGTAATTAATAAAGGATGAACACAAACAGCCCATTAGCTTCGTTTCAAAGCTGTTTCCATGGCTGCAACATCTGACTGCCCTTGTAGCAGCCAAAAATTGTAGGGTTGGCACATGGAAACGTGGCTGTGGGGCAGAGCTGAGGAGGCACTGGGAGCAGTGGGGCACCTGTGGCAGGCAGCACCTCACAGCTGCTGTCCCTTCCCGATAACTCGGTCCTTAGGAAAGAACCCCCAGCTCTTAGGAAATTAACAGTCCAAAAAGTCAATCAGGGAAGTTTAGGGAGCGTGCAGAGGTTGGCAGATTTATGACCTTGGGAAGTTTCAGGTATTTATTTTGGAAGTTTACAGGCCAGTAAGGGCACCAGAGAGGGTCTCCAAAGAAGCAAACTGAGGAAGGGACCCCAGTGAGAGCTGTCATGTGTGAAACGGCTGAGGGCTGGGGGTCCTGCCTGGTGTCCCCACCACGCAGAGGGACAGCATCCCCTCGGGTCCCTGTGGTGCTCACCTGGGTTCCAAGCAGAACACAACCAGCTGAACTCTTTTATTTTGATATGCAGCTCTTTGCAGCTCATTTTCCCAATAAAGAATTCCAGAAACTAGGCATGGCTGGGGTGTGCAACAGCAGCTTGCTGAGTCTTGGAAAGACTCAGGAGAAACTGGTTCAGGGCATATTCAGTCCCAGTTCAGCGCTTGCAGTAATGGCTGAGAAGGAAAAGGAATTCAAAGAACTTGTCTGAAAGCAAAGTAGCTGCAAATAGACACTTAAAAACCATCTCAGAAAGGGGTAATTACCAGAACCACTGAGGGTTCCAGCAGGCTGAGTTTTCTAGTAGTGCCCTGCACATATTGTTAGTGACAGCACAGAGGAATGTGAGCAGTATCACAAGGTAACATGGATTCATTCCAAGGGATGACTCCAAAGTCCTGAAATTAATTTCTGCCAAGTCTGTCTCAGCAAGCAAAACCTGTTTTTGTCTCTTTTCATGGTCCCTGTAGGACACAAAGCTGTCCTGTCATACCCCAGCAAGCTCTGGGGCTCGCAGGGCATCCCATAGAGTTACTCAGCCATCCCTATTCCATGCCTGGTGGAGCATTTCCCAACTGAATGCTATCCTATAACTGAGAATTGCTCAGTGGGGGATGTGTGCAATGACAAAAAAAAATTATTTTCTCTTATTTAAACCACCAGCAGAGGCACCAGGTCAGAGCTCTGTAAGCCATAATGATTTTGGCCCCTGATCCAGCACAGGTGTTACTGTCACTGGATTTGGGGACATTGTGCACAGGGCCCAAGCAAGGACTGTGACATGCCAGGGAGGTGACAGTGACACTCCCGAGTGTGGGGGGGATGAAGCCAGCCTGGGGTTGTTTGCCAAAAGGAAAGCAGCAAGTGTGGGTGACATTCCCAGAAGTTCAGGTCAGTCTCATTCTGCCTGGCAAAGTCACAAACCAAAGCCAGGCTAATGACTGAATTTATCTGGTTGAATTTATGTTTTTTTTTTTCTCTAATCTTCCCAGGTTCTTGCAAGAATGAACTCTAGCAGAGTGCCTGGGGACCTGGAGCAAGCTGAGTGCATCCACAGCTCTTATCTCCCTCTCCAGCCCCAGGCTGGGGATGAAGCCACACCATCACAGGAAGGCACAGGGTGGCAGGAGAAGGTTGGGCTCCCAACAGCATCTCCATCGTTCTCTCTTCCAGCTCACCTCACCAAAGGCCATGCAGTTCCTTCCAAACTGGACTCTGAGCCCTCTCCCTGCTGGAGAGGCAGCAAATAAATGCCTTACCTTGTGCCATGAGTGCCTGGCTGTGCCAGACTGGCTGTGTGTGACCTGGGGGGTGTTCAGCTTCCCCTGGCTTTTCCTCAGCGTTATCCTGGGATAGCAGCTCCCAGCACTATCCTGGGATAACAGCTCCCAGCACTATCCTGGGATAACAGTTCCCAGGGAGCAGTGGGCACAGGGCTGCCTGTGGAGCACAGACCTGCCCCAGGCAGGGCAGCTGCCTCCCCATGCTCCCTGTGCTTACTGTCCCAGGGACAAGGTGGGGACAAGTCCCTGCAGCCCCAAGCCAGGGGTCACAGCAGGGGACAGGTACCCCTGCAGAGCTGGGTACAGGAGTGGGTGCCCATCCCTGCAGCTCCTGTTCTGCTCTCCAGGAGCCCTGGAGTTGGGCTGGTGCCTCAGCAGTGAGGCTGGGTGAAGCACAGCCCTCCTGCCTGGGGGGCACAGGGTGAGGACAAGGATCCCCCCCTGCCCCTCCATCACCAAACCCACCCTCTGCAAGAGCTCAGGGCTCAGCACCCCACATCCTCCCCCCTCAGCCCCCATACAACACAAGGAGGCTCCTTTATTTAAATAACCAAAGGTGTAATTTCTTTTTTTTTGTTGTTGTTGATTTTTTGTAAAGCACATAACATTCTCAGCCCAATTAAAAGTGAACAGCAGACAACTGCACATAGAGGCACTGCTCCCTCCTCCCAGGAGGAGTCAGACATGGTTCCCCTCCCCAGGAGGGCCCTCCTGGGTTGGCCCTCCACGGCAGCCCTTTATCTGCCACTCTCACAAAGTGCTGGTTTGGTTCCCATCCTCCCACCCCGACCCTTCCCATCCCCTGAGTCTGTACTGTAAGGCCCCTCCAATGAAGCCCCTGGCAGCACCAGCTCAGCCCAAGGGCTCCTTCCATGGAGCTCCTGGCTTTTCCCAGCTGAGCCTTTAGCCCCAAAATGCCAGATAAACACAACTCCACCAATGCAAGCTGCAGGAGCTGGGTGTGCTGCTCACCTGAGTAGCCTCAGCTGGCTTATCCCCAGGTCCCCTGTGCCATGAACAGGAGAGCTAAAGCTACAGGAACCATGGACCTGACCCAGCCTCCAAGGGCATCAACATTTCACAGCTCCCGGTGAGGAATCCGGGAGCTCTGTTGGTCCATCACCCCAAGGCACAGAGGAACCCCTTTTATCTGACTGGGAAAAGGGTTTATGTCCCCCAAAGGGTGAGCTGAAGCCTTCCAAGCCTTCCCAGCCCCCTTCCAGCTGCAGCTCACCCACCCTGTGGCTCTGCAGGGGTTTTACAGGCCGTGGAGAGCAGCAGCTCCGCCCCGCAGATCAGCAGAGACGCGGGACAGGCACCATCTTTCGGCCAGCGCTGACCATGACAAGTGACAGAACGAGCACGACAGAGCCCTTTGCCTCCATAAGGGGCACTGCAGGCGGCGGGATGTCACCGGGCTGAGCCACCACCACGGCGGGGAGCTGGCAGCAGTTTCCAACGTGATGCTCTTGTGACACAAGGGCGTCTCAAGGGGACAGGCCTGTGTGTCCCACTGGTGGGTAGGAGTGCTCTGGGCTGTCCAGGGAGGACACCACACTCCTTGCACTGCTGAAAAGCCAAAATCTGGATTTTCATCCAGTTCTCAGCCCTGTTTGAGCATCGAGGTTGTGCTGATACAAACTGCTGCTTGGTGGTTTCCACCTGGGACATCACAGGGCCACCTCACGAGCTGAGCTTGCAGGAATGCAGGTGCAGGGACAGTCACACGAGGCAGAGCTCAGGCTCCAGACAGGTTTTTGCTGTCACCCCAAGCTAGCTGCAAGAGCTGGGGGAACTCTAGTCATTTAGCCCTTTGGTAGCACAAGTTTGATGCCTGAGAAATTCAGAAAAAAGGAGATATTTCAAAGTGAGAAAATGAACCCATAAGAGAAATCCACTCAGAGGGGAACTGTAGTGCTGGCTTGACACCCTGTGTGTGCCAGTCTGTGGTGTTCCCAAGAGTTAGAAATCACTGCAGAGGAGAAGAAGATCCTTCAGTATTTGGCAAGAACAGACAGGTCCCTTCAGCCACCACCACACGGTGACACCATTGCAGATGCCTCTAGGATGAGTCCTTTGCCTCTCCTGGATGGCCTGACAGCCTGAAGAGGGTCTCCCTCATGGTGCTGAAGCATCTGTCAGAGAGGTCTGTGACATCATCTGACGTCAGCCCTTTGGTCTCTATTGGAGGCAGAATCTCAACCTTGATTTTGCCTGGGGACAAGAGAGGAGCCTGTGAGAAACCCACACACCACAGGAGCTCTGCTCCTTACCCTGAACAGCCCCAGCACAGCCCTCAACCCCTCCCAGGGCTTCAGGTATCCACCCCTGGAGCACAGGCAGAGTCAGATCCCAGCTCCAACAGCGGTGCCACCCAGAATAATCCCCCTGTGCCCCAGACTGCCATCCCAGCCAGAGCCTGCCCAGAGCAGGAGGTGGTAACCAACTGTTAATGAAAACATCCCTCAATGTATTTAATTACAGCCCTTCCTGAGTTAACCCAGCCCAGGCTCTGGTGCCAAGTGCTTTGAACTGCCTCCAAACATCTCCCAGCAGGGCTCCTCCTGTTCACCCCAGCTCTGCTTCCCTCCCACACCCTTCTGAGCCAGATCTCCACACAGGACAACAGCAACCCTGTCTCCAAGTGACTCTTTGTTACCTGATGTAAACAGCTTTGTCTTTGGGTTATAGAAGGTGGTGAAGGAGGAATACACCACAGGGATCACTGGGACCTTGGGAAGGGAAGGAAAAGAGGAGTTACTGGCACTTCAGCAGCTCAGGGCAGGCCAGAGACAGGCAGCAAATCCCACATGGCAAAGCTGACCTGGCCTGGCTCTCAGACACACAGGGCACACACAGCTCCACAAACAACACCCACTTCCAAAGGCTGGAACAATCAGCAGTCAAATGGAATCCAAACCACGCCCCAAAAACTCAAGGCACAGGGATATTCAAGAAACCAGGGCCAAGTCCCAGTCCAGCCTCTGCTCAGCACTGGCTTTTAGGGCTCCTTGACCCAAGTGAGTCTTCAAAGCCCAGGTATTTTCTGTCCTGCAATCGAACACTGCAGGCTACCTGTTCTGACAGGCCTTGTCTGCTGTACAGGCATGTGTCTGGGGCAGGGTGGCTGCTCTGCTTTCGGTTTCTAAGAAAGGGAGTCACCAGTTGTTATCAATTGCTCCTGGGGAAGCTTCAGACAGACACAGGGCCAGAAGGGCAGGCAGAGCTGTTGTTGCAGTGCTGGTAACACAGCCAGGATCTACAGTCGGTGACTCAGGGGGGTGTAGCAGAGGCGGGGACCAGTTCCATGTCATCCTTTCCTCCCAGCAGCTGCCAGGCTCTGCTTTGGCTGCATCACCCAGGCAAGAATGACATGGTATCACACAGGCTACACCCTGGGCTTGGCCAAATGAACCCAGTGAGAGAGCTGGCATCTCTTCTCTTTCCCAAAATCCCTGCTCTACCACCTCTCCTGGGGAAACGAGTTTTCCCTGAGGCTTCGAGTCATCCCAGACTCTGGCACACTGCCCCAGCACTGTGCCCAGGCAAACACCCTGCTCCTGAGACAGCTCTGGCTGGCTGAAGCTGTTTGCCTGCTCCCCCACTAACTGCTCATGGATGCTGTCATTTTGGAGAGAAAAGACATATCAAGAACTGCCATATGGCTGCCAGGGAGGCAGCAGCTATTTTCACACAGAGCAAGGCCAGATGTTGCTCTAAAGCACGAGAATTAACAATCCTGAATCATCCCTACACTATTGCAACCTGGGGGATTGAGAACTGAATGGACAGCTTTGGGCTTCCCCAGGAAAGAACCCACTGGGCTCCCTGCCAGGAGCGAGCTCTGGGCTCCAGCCATGCCCCCAGGAACCCCTGGGCACAGGCACTGCCCTGCCATGCTGCCAGGAAAGCCTGGAGATAGGGATCAAGTGTGACTGCCCCTCACATTCCTCCCTCCAGAGGGGACACCAGGATTGAGGCAGGCAGGAGAGGACAGGGTGATTCTCCACTGTCTACAGCCACTCATGCCCAGGGTCAGCTCATTCCCAGAGGGGATGGAAAAGGCTCTTGGCTGCTGCAGTGCAGCACTTCTGACACCAGAGGTTTACCTGAGTAGGTGTTACCTGGGAACACAGCTCACCTGAGAGCAAATGAGCCACACACTGCAGGATCAGTGTGCAGTGCCACTGCAAAAGCACTCAGGGATCCCATGCAAGGGCAAAGCACTGTTACCTGTGCCTGGACAGCGAGGTGAAATGCTCCTTTCTTGAATGGCAGCAAATCCCCAGTGCAGTTCCTTGTGCCCTCTGGATAGACCCACACCTTCGTCTGCACATGGAGAGACAGAAATCCACTTGCAGTGGTGGGAGACACCAGCCAGCTCTGCCAAGCTGAGCCAGCACCAGGAGTGCCACAATGCCCCGATGCCACCCCACAGTGACACTCACATTCTCAGTCACCATAGTCTTGGCCACCTCTGACATCACCATCTTGGCACTGCTGGTGCTCTTCCTGTTGATGAAGATGACGCCACCAAGGTACATGATGAGCCCCACGCTGCCCATGTACATCAGCTCCTTCTTGCCCACCTGGACACAGTTGTCGGGCAGGACCTCCATCAGCCCTAATGGGATGGCAGAGGGCAAGACCCAGCAGTCACCCCTGGGACAAGGACAGGACAGGGGCACCAGGGACAGGCTGCTGCTTGGCTTCTGAGAGCAGGAGGCTTGGCACACAGCAGAGTTAGTAGGGCAGGGTGGCTGCAGGTGACAGCAGGACACCCCCAGAAGCAGCTGATTCCCCACCCCCAAGGAATCCAGCAGGGCTGCTGGCACATGGTCTGGGTCAGCACCTCAAGGACAGCAGAACCTGGGGTGCTGCACAGGTGTGGGATTGCTCAGAGTGACAGGAGACCCTTCCCACAACCAGCACTGGGGCTGCTTGTCCAGGAGGTACAAGCAGGACTTCTCCCAATGGTGAGCAGGAGA